TAAGCCACAGCATTTATCCGTCAAGTTACACATCTCCCTGTAGTGCGCAGTGATTTCTGCTTTCCCTGAATGCTTAGAGCAACAGTCATTCACCTATTCCTCACGACTAACCAATGTGTGTGAGTGAAGTTATTGTGACTGTTGCTCTCTGATAGAGCCTTATATGCGTAAAGAGAAGCTTTCGTAGTGCAATGGTTAAGCACTTGGCTACTATCTGAAAGGTTGGCAGTTTGAACCTTCATAGTGACTGTATAGAAGAAAGACCTGCTTCCATAAAGGTTGTTGTTGTTAAGTGTCACTGAGTTGGTTCCAAATAATGACTCTGTATAGGATTCCACAGGAGCTGGTAGCGTAGTGGTTACGAATCGGGCTGCGAACCTTAAGGTCAGCGGTTCGAAACTACCAGCCGCACCGCGGGAGAAAGATGAAGCGTTCTACTCCCGTAAAGATGTACACCCTCGGAAACCCTGTACAGGGTCGCTATGGGTCGGAACCGACTCGACGGCACTTAACAACAACAATAGGGTTTCCAAGGAGCGGCTAGTGAGTTTGAACCATAAAGATTACAGCCTACAGAATACTATAGGGAAGTTCTGTTTTGTCCTATGGAGTCACTATGAGTCAACTGTATTTGACAGCACCTAAAAACAACAAGGGAATGGTGTCTAATTATATTTCATGTGGATGAATTCACCCTTCAGTTAGCTTGGAAACATCTTAGCGGCTGGGACGATCCTGTTATGGAGTCTTACCAGTGCCTGTCAGAATTAGAGAATAAGCTATTGCCTTGCTTAGCCACTTCAAGGTCTACCCTGAAGCTATGAATCCAAATCACTGCATTTAGATATTATGCAGAAATTCTGTTACTAGGAACTGTAACCAGAAAGCCCAACACTTAACTCAAAGGAACCAACATGCACATTTCTTCTTTTACACACCAGACCTTATTATCTTGGTGATTTTTCAGAGAAATTTTCCATTAAACATGTAATTTTACATTCCTTCCAGTAAAAATTCCCTCAGGTGTTGGGGTGATAACACAGAAGGTTTCAATTATTCAATGAGAAAAACTAAAAGGATAAAAATGAATGCTTATGGTTTCTATAAGAACTGTAAGTTCCTAAAGATGATAGTAGCAGCAGAAAAATAAACAAATCACCAAGAGAAAACTCTCCTCCTTCCACAAGAAATGCTTGGTTATAAAACAATTAGGAATGATAGACACAGACTGTAAACGTTCCTCCCTAAAATAGAAATAGGATTACCAAAAGGATCCTGGCTTGGGAAAATGAGGAACCAGATCTCACTCATGTAGTGGACACATTTCTTTGCCAAAATTCAGAATAAAAAGTAACAGTATTGCTTAGTATTTGCCAAGTACATGTTCACTGTCAACTGATACTTTTCCTGTACCCAGCAGTTTTGCTTCTAGAACTGTAAATGCCTAGAAAGACTTCCAGGACCACTCAAGATCAGTGGCCCATGAGGTTCCACTTTGAAAAGTCACCCTGGACTTTCAACTAAGGATCAATGAAGAACAACTTCTTCTACCTAAACTGAAGGAACTTAACCTGGGACCAGTGGATCCCCCCAAGAGGAACACAGATGGAATTTGTGGGTTCCTGAATTTTGATGGGGAAAAACAATCATCTCTCTTTTTACTAAACTCTAACTAACATCTCTCCTACTTTGGATATGTTATCAGGAAGGACCAGACCCTGGAGAAGGACATCATGCTTGGAAATGTTGAGGGTCAGCAAAAAAGAGGAAGACCCCTATTGAGATGGATTGGCACGGTGCCAGCAGCAATGGCCCAATTGTGAGGATGGCACAAGATTGGCCAGTGTTTTTTGTTTGTTGTGTATAGGGTCGCTATGAGTCAGAATCAACTCGATGGCACCTAAAACAACAGCGACTAAAGTGTAGGTAAAAACTAGGGTAGTATTAATAGGAGCTGGAACTTTTCCAAAACCAAAAGTTTGAACCCACCAGTCACTCTAAGAGAAAATGATGTAGCTATCTGTTTCATAAAGATTACAACCTAGGAAACCTTATGAAGCAGCTGTATCTTCTCTGTCGTGTAGGGCCACTATGATTCTGGATCTACTCGACAACATGGATACGAGATTTTTTTCACACAAATATTTAACAATCATTTTCTTACCACATTATAATTGTTACAAATATTTTGAAGAATCATTTACACTCATCATTACTTCAAAAATCACAGTCGTTATTGGACCTGTATCTAAATTTTGTTGGAGCTCTGGTAGCATAGTGGTTACGAATTGGGCTGTGAACCGCAAGGTCAGCAGTTCGAAACTACCAGCTGCTCTGTGGGAGAAAGATGAGTCTTTCTGCTCCCATAAAGATTTACAGCCTTGGAAACCCTGTTCAGGGTCACTATGGGTCGGAACTGACTCGACAGCACTTAACAACAACAACAATGTTAATAAAGAAGCACACATATTATATTATTCCACATATTTAGTTTTTTAAAAATATATTTTGATGCTTATATATTCCAAAAGGATTGGCTACCTTTGTAATCCTATATACTTTATTTTATACTTTTAAAAATTATTCACCAGATCCACACAAAAGTAACTAAGAGCTCCTAGTTCAAATATCAACTTTTGGTATTTGTTAACTGATCACATGGATTTAAAGAAATTGAACAATATGCTTGGACCAAGGTATAAATGCAATGTGAAGTGTCCCCTAAACTCTTAGGAGAATGTTGTATGTGCTACTTTTCTCTGATGAGTATCTGTTCCATTAAGTGGCAGGAATAGTTGTAGTAGTAATTATAATATGTCCATTATTAAAGCTTCTACCAAGTCTGTAGGAGTTCTGGCATGGCACTTTAGACCACAAGGTTGGTTTGAACTGCAAGGTTGGTAGGCCAAACACACCAGTCACTCCTAGAAACCTATACAGGGTCACTTGGAGTTGGAACAGACTCAACAGCACTTAACAACAACAACCAAGTCTCTGGTGATTTTAATCACCCAAATCACTTAATTGTGTATTGTTGTTAAGTGCCGTTCAGTCAGTTCCAACTCATAGAGACCCTGTGTGGGGTTTCTAAGGAGCAACCAATGAGTTTGAACTGCCAACCTTGCGGTTTAAACCAACCTACGGCCGAGTACTTATCCTACAGTGCCACACCAGGACTCTATTATTGTATATGGATATATACAATTATATTTATGTTTTCATGTCATCATCACATTTCTAAGAAAAGAAAAGATATAAACACATTTATCCATTTTACAGATGAGGAAACTGAGGTTCAGAAAAGCTGGGTCCCCACAGTTGATCAAGGTTTAAAAAACAAACAAACAAAACGATAGATTACCATCTTTCAACAGATGGGGAACCAATCTGTGAGCATTAGAGTCAGGGCTGGGATTCCACTCCTTTTGGTCGAATTCCAAAGCCTTATGTATTTCCCTTGTGCTGTGCTGCTGGCCTCCCTTTCCTGTCTCCAAATGCTAGAACTGTAGGACCGTTAAAAATAGCCCCAGCCCACCCCTGCCTCTGTTGAGTCATGGGGTGCCTGCACTCAAGGGAGAGGAAGATAAAGCATTTCAAAGATCTTTCCAAACTTTGGCAGAGCTCCATTCCAGGGCCCCAAGAGAGGGGGCGTGTCTTTGGGATATCAGTGCTGCTCTCTTCCACTCCAGTGGCCTTGGGTTCTTGGTTTGGTTTCTCTTTGAAGGCCACCGCCCACCTCGCTAGTGAGGCATTCCAAAGACTAACTAACCCCTCCTGTCTAATGAAGCCCAGGTCCACAGCCACTGTCAGAAGAGAATGTATGTAAATAAAATAATTCACTCTGAAATGGTCATCATTTATCATGTAAAAGTGGTTTTCAAATTTTAGGAGTAAATTCAATGAAGAGTTAATGTTTTCCTATCTTAATGTCTATGTATGTGAAGGTAAACTTTTTTTTGTAGGCTTTTGCCGGCCAGAGAGGCATTCATTTTTCTCCCTGCTATTTATTCTGTTTTATTTCCTTATTTGCTGTTACACTGTTGCCGATCACAAACCAAGAGCATGTTCTTAACATCCTATACAAAAGCAGGAGTAGTGGGGATTCGTACTTTTAAGACATGCCAGGCTCAGGAGGGTTTGGAAAATCGCCCAAAGAGTTTACAAACTGCAATCCCTGGCACAGAAGTACAGCCTTGTCCTAATTACCCTCCTTTTTTTCTGGAAGCTCTCATTTTGGTTATTGTGGCAAAGCCGTATTTAATTTGTTTCAACTCCAGTGAGATTGATACCCTCTGATGTAGTTTCTATTCTTATGTGCTGCTCACTCATTTGCAGACTGTTCTTCTTAAACTGTTTTAAGCTCTACATATCAGTCTTCCTTTAACTAAAATAATGAAACAACTGCTATTTACAAAATCATGTGTTTTTTTTCAAACAATTTATCAAGTCCATTTAAAAACTTTTATTCAATTTTACTTCCTTTCTGCCCAAAGTTCTCTGAAATGGTTGATTGTTAAACATACTCATCAACTGTTTGTCACTATTTAAAACTTTTCAAACTGTTTCTTGTAGCCATTCTGTATGTTTCCTATAGTCATTATCTTGATGTTCCAAAGAGAAAATCTGTATGCAACAAGAAAGCATACTCTGTGGAACTTTAGTTACAAAAGCAAACTAACTTCCAAATGATATGAACTCACTCCCCCAAAGCTTTATCTCATTCAGCTTTCCTGAAAATCCAGGCAAATCTTTAATTGATTTATGAAATAAATTGAAACTCATTGAAATATAAGTATACCTTAACCAATATACTACTGCAATATCTTTTACATAACAGAGAAAAAGTTAACAATAAAGTTAAATTGTTGACCAGCAGAAAGAAGAAAAGATTAGTATACACTGTTCCTTTTTGTTGTTGTCAGAGAGGTTTAAGAATGAAGTGAGAAAATAACTAAAACTAAGCTCTTTTCTTCCTCTTTTCTCCTGCCTTGTCTTTTCAGGAACTTCCCAAACTTACAGAATCTTAGTTTGGCTTATTGCAAAAAGTTCACAGACAAAGGTTTACAGTACCTGAATTTAGGGAAAGGATGCCATAAGCTCACCTATCTGGACCTCTCTGGCTGCACCCAGGTTTGTCTTCAGTCTTCTTTTTTCTGCAGTGGGCAATGAAGGAGTTTTCCGGAGAACGGGCTGTATGCAGCCCTCATGTTAGGCTAACGCTGTGCACAGCCTGCAGTACACTTCACAGAGGTTTTTAAAATTACATGGCCACAGCTGCTTAAAATTTCCCCAGGAATACTATAGGCTCTTGGCTTCCTTCCACCAGAGTGTCACATCGACAGCGGGCAGAGCTCATTGGATGATGAAACAGACTTCTGTGTAGACTCAGCACAATTCTAATACTAGAGAAAAAAACTGTAGAGTTACTACCAAGATGCAAACAAAGGAAAACCTTTTTAAAAGGAGGATCTGCAGAGAACTTGTTGAGACGGCAGTTAGCTCCCCCATGGGCTTTCAAAGGGCAAACCATATTGAGGGAAATGCTACAAGTGGTAAATGTGCAAAAGGAAATCCAATATAATTGCAATTAAAAAAGCGTTTCATCTTTGGTTAAATAGCATGAAGATGGGTGTGGGAAATATTTTAAATCTGAGAGGACAGGATTAAGGAGACGTAAGCAGAAAACAGGGTGGAATTGTGGGAGGAAGGGCATGGTATTTTGGAAGATTTAAGCTATGGCTCTTTTAACTTGATTTCATCCACCTTTCTGTGGATTTTATCTGTATTTTTTGTCACAGTGTATTCATCATTCTAGGAGAATAATATAATAGTGCAGGTGAGAACTGGCTGTTGTTGTGTGCTATTGTTGCAAATCATAGCAACCCTGTATAGATAGGGTTTCCAAAGAGCTGCCAAACTATGGTTAGCAGTCTAGTGCTTAGCAGTCCAGAGCCACATCAGTGCTCCAAAATATTAATAGGTACCATTTATTGAGTTCTTATACATCGGGCACTGTGCTGAGTGCGTTACACACACCAAATTGACTCCTCATCTCAGTGCTGTATAGTGTGTATTTATTATATCCATTATATAAATGATAAAAGACTCAGAACAGTTGAATAAATTGCCCAACAATGCACAGCTGATGAAAGTACTTAGTACTGGTGCAGTTAGAACACGAGGGAGCTTCAAAAAGTTCGTGGAAGAATGGGATTAAAAGATAATGAAAATTTTCCATGAATTTTTTAAGCCCCCTCGGATAACTGCTAGCATCTATGATGATGTTCAGAATTCTTTCTTTTTTTTTTCAAGGTTTTATTGTGAATTGAGTGAAAGTTTACAGGGCAGTCATCAGTTTTACATTCAACAAATCATACACCTTGTTTCATTACAAAGATTATAATCCCCTCCATGTACCATCAGATAACAGTATTTCTCTCTATTCACTTTAGCTTTTTTTTTTTTTTTTTTTTTTTAATGCTTAGGCATATATAATAACTTATACCACCAAAGGACACATTCTGCAAGTCTGTCCCCTGGCCACCAGCTCTTAGTCCCTCTCTTCCCATGACTCTAGAGTCCCCAACTGCTTCCTCTCTCCATGTTCCCATCTCTGCCTCCATCTCTGGTGTCGCTGCTTCTCTGGATAAGGTCTCGCATTCAGTGTGTGCTTTTCTCCCTTGATGGCCCTAGAGTCCTTTTTTCTGGGTTGTAAGATTAATTACTCCCCTGTTTTTGTTACAAAATTTCTACCTTTACAATTGCGACAGTCGCAATTAGTCATGATAACAATTACTCACTATTGAATCATAATGTTATCCCCATCTCTTTCACCACACCCATCTAGACAAGATGAAAACTATTCAGTGGGGACTGTTTCTTCCCCCACACTCTTAAACTCCCTCTTGAAACCTTATAAACAAATCACTTCGTGCCTTTATCACCCCCTCATTTTAGGTAGCCAATGTCTAAGTTGCCCATCCCTATCTGCCTTGTGTACAGAGAAAATAGCATTGATACTCGATGTGAAGACTCCTTCCCTGTCTCTTGGGATTTAGAGTTACTACCTCCATGAATATAGGTCAGGTTCATCAAATTGTAGCACTTTACCCTCATTTCCTTTATCAAAAATTGTGTGTTTTTTGTAATCTTCCTCTAGTCGAGTTCTGATTATCAAGGCATCTAGGCTAGGTCAAATGGGTACTGTATGCAAGTTTGGGTGTTCTTGCATGTCTCCCCTTACTTCATATCAGCTGGATGCTTTACTCTCAGCTCTAACCCTCTGTGGCTATGTCCTTGTCCATGAGCTCAGTTGTCCCCAGGTCTCACCACATTTTGGACCAACCAGGACTTCCACTTCTCTCTCTCATCTCCAGGTCAAGGGGAGTCTATAAAAAATGTGGTTGAACTCAGTCCATTTCTTCATTGCTGCCTTTCCCCATCTTCCACTTACCAGTAGACCAATGTGGTCACCAGCAAGCTTACATGCCTACTCATGTGCTCCCTTTGAGTTTCAGTCTTAGAGTGGGGTTTGTCCTGAAGGGATTTGATTGCTTGCCTTAATGGTTTCCTGGCGAACAACTTGCTTAGCAGCCAGTCATTCTACCATTTTTGTTTTGGGTTTTTCCTGATGATATATCTTTGAAGATGTATCTTCTGTCATTCTAGCTCTTCCAGGCTTGTCCTTTCTAGAGGGACTGTCCCACCTTAGAAGGTTCTGGATGGGACTCAGGATTCCACCTAAGGTCCTATACACTGCAAAGGCTTCGCAAGAGGGCCTATTTCTGGGCAAGTTCTAGAACCCCTTTTAGGTATTCCAGTCAGTTATAGGCTAAAGATGGGCTTACAGGTTTTCAGTAATTATGTTTCCCGATATTCCTGTCTATCCCACTCAAGTGTCTATTTTACAATAATAGGCAAGGGAAACCAATATTCATAAGACAATCAGGCTTCTTAGTATTATTTCCCTCTTCAAAGTATGCCTAGATCCCTGTATCACAGAGCCCTGTTATTCCAAAGTTGAGTGTGCATCACTATTTACCTCTGTCCCACTTAGCACATGCAACCTGTCTCAGTGTTCTCCTCTATCTTGTTCTTCCACCCCTTCCCCTTCTTGTGTATTGCCCTCCCCATCACCTGAACTATGATGTGTCTGATGGTCAGAACTTTTGAAGATTAAAAATTTTGACTTAGTTCTTTTTCATTTCCAGCTCTTGGAATGTGATTTTTAGTAACAGACTTGACATTTAAATATTGTACAGTCACAAAATAATACAGTTGTTCTGTGGAATCTGTTGAAACTGAGGTTTTAATCAATATTATATACATTTCTTCTTTGACTTATATAAAAAAATAGAAAAGTGTATCTATGACAGGAGTGCTGATGGTACCATAGGATAAGCACCGGACTGCTCACCTCAAGGTTTCGAGTCAGAACTGACTTGACAGCACGGAACAATAACAATATGCAAGACGTTTCCAAATCCGTCATATTTATTTGTTGGTGACTTTGACACCTAAGGCTGTGTCATCCTGTGTTCACTCTTTCACTTCCCTCAGTCAGTTGCCTTGAGAATCCTTTCAGAGGAAAGAGAGGCTGTTGCATGTCTGCTCCTCAGTCAACCACACGGCTCTGCAGCGAATCATGTCTTCTCCTCAGTGGATAGCATGGCTTTGCAACTACTTATAAACTGGATCTGATGAACTGCTCCTGTGAATTCAGGAAGAAAAGCAAAACCAACTCATGAGATTGGATGCTACTTATTCTGAGCAACTTCTTACTTAAGTCCTTTGAAGGAACTGTGTCGACCTCCACAGTTCTGTGAGGGTAGCTTCAAAGAAGATAAATTGGGGGTTCACAGATGTTTAAAGGTCTCTCGTTTAACTAAAAGGTCCCATTTTAGAAACTAAAAAAACGTTTCTCACATTAGTTTGGTATATCACAGAAGGATGCCTTGTGTTAACATGTCTAACTAGGTAAAAAGGCCTTAATAAAACAAAAAGATGTGAGAATAGAAGCTTCCACCTGAGTGTTTTTCACTGGTGTTTGTTGAGTGCCTACTGTCCACTGGGAACACTGAGGAACTGAAGATGAATAAATCAATAGCTCTGTCTTCTAGGAGCTCTGGAGTAACTGAAACAAAATATGTCAAGGACTAAACTTTAGTATAGTTACCGTTGACCAAAAAAGGAAACATTTATTTGTGTAATATTGTGACAAAATTTTAGCCATGCTTGTTAGAAAAGCAAATAAATGAGTGATGGAGAGCTGCAAAAGACAAGTGAAAATCAATTGAATATGTTTTAGAAATATTCTGAATTCTTTATGGATGGGATAAATTCTTTAGGTGCATTAGGTAATGTGACTGATTTTCTAATGAATACCAGAACTTCCACATGCACCTGTGTGTCATAATCTTCAATGAAATTGAGGTGATTCCTCTGCTCTGCTTTCATCTCCTTAAGAAGCCTTCTCTACTGTAAGCCTTTAGGAGACCTGGTAGCATAGTTGATTACGAGCTGGGTTGCTCACCATGATGTCAGCAGTTTGAATCTACCAGTTGCTCCAAAGGAGACGTTAAGGTTTTCTGCCCCTGTGAAGATTTACACCCTCAGAAACCAACTTGACATCACACAAGCGTCATCACCACCACACTCAGCCTTAAATAAGAGCTTTCAATATTCCATGCATAGACCTAACTGTACATATGTTGTTTTACTTGAAATTTTATTTTTATTTCTTTTTAAAAATTATTTGGCTTTTTTTCTTCTTACATATTTAATGCAGATACTTTTGAAAATATATACAAAAAGGCTTCAAAAAGTTAATGGAAAATTCCATTAGCTCTCTTTTGTTGTTGTTTTTTTTTAAGTTGTTATTGTGAATTGAGAGATAGTTTACATGGGTGAGCATCAGCTTTATATTCATCCTATTATATTTCGTTTCATTGCAATGATTACAATCCCCTCCATGCATCATCAAACAACCAAAGGGTACACCCCGCAAGCCTGCCCCCTGGCTGTCAGCACACAGCCCCTCTCCCTCCCTGAGTCCAGAGTCCCCAGCTGCTCCATCTCTTCACGTCATCGTCATTGTCCCTGCCTCCATCTCTGGCGTCACTGCTTCACTG